AATGTCTTCAAAAGACATTTTGGAGCTACTTGGTTGGGATTTGATAATGTCTTCAAGAGACATTCCGGAGCTAACTGTTCCTTCTCTACTCGGGGAACATACTCATCTTGGAACAACTATGTAAACCTCTCCCATGTCACTACAACATGGTCTGCAGGAGTAAAACTAGTAGTCACGAACTTCTACCAGTCCTTCGCTCCCAAGCAAAGCTGGTTCGGCGCAAACCGAACACTCATGTGATCTGGGCATGAACATGTATAGAAACATCCCTCAATGTCGGAGATCCATCTCATGACAGCAATCGGGTCCTGTGTCCCATCAAACTCTGGTGGCTTTGTGTTGATGAACTCCCAAAACAACAACGAGTCACCTCCCTGTGGCCTAGCAGCAGCTACGGCTGCGGTGGCTACAGTAGCAGCAGACTCCTTAACAACAATGTATCGCTCGTCGAAAGTCTCAATTAGTGTGGTCTTAATAAACCCGAACATCTCTGGTATGGCCTCTCTGATAGTTGCTGAATGGTCCATTCAGATCTCCTAGTCACTGGCACTACTACTCTCGGGGTTGTGACGTGTACCCACCATAATGTCTCCAAAACACAACACGAAAATCATCAGAGACTCGTTTGAGCATATCCACACTCGATTTCCCATCCCTACATGCTCCTTAGTATCCTAAGGATTCTTACTTGGGTCGCATATAGATCCGATGCTTTTAGTAGTACGGACCCAATACTACCTTATACACCAACCCGAGTCACCCCAAGTCCTCCTCCCAGGATCCTAATTCATTCACAACTACTCTATCTCTCACTAGTATCACACTAATCTCTCGGTAGGCTCCTCTTATGTCCCATCTAGGTATCTCTCCTAGATTATCCCTCAACTCAGAACTCTTTCTAAGAAATTCCCGCTACGTACTCCCACTCAACACATACTCAAGGCAAATAACATAATACATTGATCAATAGCATAACCTAGACTAAGGCATCATGAATCAGTCAACTTTAGCCCTAAATTATGAAGTACCTAGCCTATCCTCTAGCATGCAACTCTAATATCTCATAAATATTTCATAATATAAACAAATAATGGTATTTTGTGAAATCACCGTTCGGGATCTGGCTGATTGTACACACTGCTCCGTCTCATTTTCTCTTTAAAACTCTTACTTGGTTTAGAAAATCATTTTTCTTTATAAAAATGTCTCAATTCCTTAGTTTGAGTCCAGACATACCCGAGAGTACATCCGAATCCGTCAAACCAAGGCTCTGATACCAACTTGTAACACTATAAATTTTCATTTCCAAAATCACATGATTTCAAGTGATCACTTTTCAAAAACCATAATTGTTTAAATTATCACAAAAACGCAAATAAATAATTGTTTGCTAATAATCCAGGATCCTCTAAAACATAAACTTCATCTCGTGTGTACAATCAAGCCGACACCTTCCCGTGATCCTGAGAAGTACCTAAAACACACATCACATAACACGATAAGCATAAAGCTTAGTGAGTTCCCCAAAATACCAAACACATCACATTAGCCTCTCATGTATATATATCTCGATAAAGACCCTCTGATCAATGTGTCTCAGTGGGAACCCACCGGTCCAACAATTCGGGTTGGACCCTCCGATCCTAACTCAATAAAGCTCGGGATAATACACAACATAAATCACAAAGACATAATTCAGGATGTCACAATTCCCAACATAAGCATACAAGACCCTTCGGTCACACAATGATACCACTCATGGTAAGTATAGTGAGAAAACTCTCCTCGGAAAGTAAACAAGTTGATCTAGCACCCCACGAACAATCTAGACTCTGCCTACATAATATAATCTTCTCATAAGAAATTTGTAACAACAACTCCGCGATGCTAAACTAGCCCCTCCATTATATCTCAAAAGGGTTAAAAGACCATTTTACCCCTCCATGACCTCTAAAGTCCACAGTTGACCAAACCCTAAAAGTCAACGAAAGTCAACACTAAAGTCAACAATCCATGCTGACTCAACTCGTCGAATGCATCTATGCGACTCGTCGAGTTCCTTCGTTTTCTCAGAAAATTGTGAAAGTCCAACTCAACTCGTCGAGTTGTCTCATCAACTCGCCCAGTCACATCGTGTCGAAACTCGTCGGGGAAAATCCTAGCCGACTCGTCGAGTCCCTTTAGACCCTTTCCTCATTCAGACTCTTTTAGGCAGAAATGACGTCTCATACTTTGGATCTAACCCTCTAAGGCTCACTTATCACGTAAAGCTAGAAGCTTTACGGTCATGCATGGTATCTAGGGCTCAAAATGCCATAACAAGCTCCATAAGGGGTTTCATGCATAGAGACTTGTCCAAAGCTTGAAAAAGATTGGATCTTTGGGCTCATGGGACCTTCTTTTGTCCAAATTTGGGACCTTCTTTTGACAAGCTCCAGCAACTCAAAACTACAAGATAAGGGGGAAAAATCCTAAAACTCCCTAGAAGGAGATTTATAAAAGGGATTGCTCAAAGTGGTAGCTTTTTACCTCCAAACGGAAGCTAACACAAAAAACTCTTGAACCAAAAGCCTCTTATTGTTCCAAGGATTGATGCTCTTCAATCCTCTTCCAAATATGCACTAGAACACCCAAAGTTAGCTCCTCTCTCTCTCTCTCTCTCTCTCTCTCTTACAAGAAAATACTCATGATTAGGGTCTCTCACAGGGTATTAGGGCGACAAGGGTGGCGGAAATGAGGGCTTAAGGTCCTTTAAATAGCACACAAACCCTAAAAAGTAGGATTTTCTCATTCAACACCTACTTGTCGAGTTGGGGTCCTCCAACTCGCCGAGTAGACTCTAGAATCACACGGCCAATTAACTCTTCTACTCGGCGAGTTGGGACATCCAACTCGTCGAGTTGCTCTGAAAATATGAAAATAAATTAATTAAATCTTATACCTGGGAGTCGGGATGTTACACTTACGGCGACGTCAACAACTCGGAATGGCGGGCAACAATAGCGCTAACCGTCGACGTTAGCGGCAACTTCATCTTCAACGGTTGCGAAGCAGAGGCGGGTCGTCACAATGATACAAACAAAGAAGAAACAACGAAGGGGGTGGGGCGCTTCAACTAGAGAGAAGAACGGTGGCCATGACGGTCCACCACTCGACGTTGACCGACAATTTCCAACGTCATTGGCAGCGGAGCGGCAATGACACAAAACAACAGCAGTAGTGGCGCTAACGGCCGGAGATAACGACGCTTGACTGGTGGTTTTCGGGCTCCAACAACGATGGCGGCGACCAGAGGTGAAGGGAGGCATAAGGAGGGTGGCGGCTGGTGAATACTACTAGGGTTAAGGTTGTGGGACGAGGGTGACGGGTTATATGCATGGTCACTTTGCAGCTTCCCCCATATTTACAATTCCAACCCCTCCATCTTAATTCCTTTCAACACAAATCCAACATTTACCAATTCAGCCCTCAGCAATCCAAACTCATTTCAATTCAGGTCCAATATTTACCAAACACCCCCTAACTTCTGAAAATCTTTGTAAAATAAATCTTGAAATTACACTTTAACCACCGAAAATCAAAATTATATCATTTGGCTCCCCAAAACCAACATCCCGCTAAATATTATGGATTTTAGGACTACTATTCATTTATTAAAATTTTTATCTATTTTTTTATTTAATAAACGGGATGTTACAGAGAATCTAGAACATAACTTAGTATGAGAGAAAGCTTCTTCAGGAGTAGACAACTTGGGGTAAGACTTAGATGCACGTACATTCCATTGTTTTTTTATTATATGATTACATTTAACTCTTATATATTATCAATGTTCTAAATCACATAAGGCGTGACTTGGCGACAATGTCAAACCTTAAGCTTTTCCGAACCTTGGCGAGTCATGACGTTTGTAAGGCGTGACTTAAGGCGGCAATTTTCTATATAGTTAATATTTTTATATGTATTTTCAATTGTTATTCATTTTTATACACATATATGAGTTAAGACAACGTTTTGGCAAAGCTTGGCGGCATGTGCAAACCTTGGAATCGTGGCGTGCCATGACGAGTTTTTTAGAACCTTGTATATTACGTTGAGAAATGACAAAAAATGGTTTGAGAGTTTGAGAAATGTTTAGAAATGGTTTTGAAAGCCTGAGAAGTGTTTGGAAATGGTTTTGAGTGTTTGAGAAATGTTATGAAATGGTTTTGAGAATTATGAGCATGGTCTTAAAATGTTTTGGAAATTACGACTCAGGAATTAGATTATTATAATTATCCAATTCCATTCCTAATTTCAGGTTTACTCATTAGATATTCTCAATATTTAATGTACTATTTTGATATGTGTTCATGTTAGAAAATGGAGCTTATAAGATTAACTAAAAGGCGACAAATATGTAGTGGTTCATTTTAAAATTTTGTTATAATATTTATTGAATACCCTTTGTTTTGTTATCATATTTGATTGAATACCTTTGTGTTTGAAACTTTTGAACTTAAACTATTTAACTTGAGTTTTTGGGACTCGAAGATTTTAAAAATGATTAAATATTTTAAAAGATAACAATATTTTTTAATACGATAGATATTTTTTGGAACTGGAAAATATATTATAATAAAATAAAAAAAGCCCTGACTAGCAAGGAGCTAGATGGAGCATACATTTAGGTTTACATAATTCTTGTATCATACTGCGCTCCAATTGGAATTCAATTAAATAAAAGGACATGAGCACCAAGTGGCCCAGTCATAAACTATTGTCGAGATCCTATATTTCATCCAAGTGTATACCGTCATTTGGATGTTATCAGCTACCCGTGTGGGGTAGTGATAAGTCTTTTGAATATCCTTTCACTCCTAGCCTTCCAAATCCCCTACATTGTACCGTATCATATGCCGATTATGATCTTCCTCTTCTTCTTACATGTGCCCTGTTTTGTTGCATATCCGATCAGCTCTCACCGTGTTAAGTTGAACTTGAGGCATGTGGCACCATTTCTAGATCCATTCCCATACAGTTTTCGCAAAGTTGCAGTTGAGTAGGATATGATATGGGCTTTCATCCATTGTCATACAATATCCACATTGGGTTGATTCTACGGTTATGCCTCTCTTGGCTAGTTCAGTGGTTGTCGGTATCCTTCCTAAATTTGCTTTCCATATAAAGTAGAGAACTTTAATAAGAATTTCTTTCATCCATTCCATTTTGACTTGAGGTACCAGATTTGTATTCCAATCAATCAAATGCCTAACTATATCAACATGATATATGCCGTCTCCTAATAATTCACAACTCCATTTATCTCTAGCTGTTGATGGCTGAAATTGTCCCATGGAATAGTAGAGAGCTGCAAGGTCAGTGATGTTCAAACTATTTTTCCAATTCCATTCCAATCCAGTAATCTTCACTCTATCCTCCACAATGCATCTTTTTTTTTTCTTTTCAATTCATATAGGTTCGGGAACTTTGCCTTTAGTGTTTCGTTTCCTTCCCATATATCTATCCAGAATAATGTCTTATCACCCTTGTTACCTTTTTTCTTCATTATAATCTCCATGGGATGTTTCATCCCTTTCCTTTATCATATATTGTCATGAATGAACCAAATATGGAAACATTTATTGTAATACATGTAAAATTTATATCGACAATAATCTTTATCATAAACCTAATATCTCATAGGTATACCATTCGTCAACATGTCATCTCGAAACCAACACCATACTTCACAACTCTTATAATGTTTATTTCATTATAAAAAAATACGTATTTACTCTAGTCGACATTACGTTGGCGCATACTAGAGTGTTAAATAAAACGCATGATAACGGAGGGGACATTTTTGCTACAAGGTTTTCATAATTGTATGTTAAAGGCTCATGGATATATTAAGTGCCAATTTACAAATTGAAAAGTGGAAAAGTGAGGGGCATGCATTTATTAAAATACGACAAAAATACATTAAGTGCCAGTTTACATGTTAATAGATGTCAATAGGGGCGACATTTCATGATAAAATACGACAAAAATATATGACACGAAATGAAATTGAAATTGTATTTGTGTTATGTTCGCGTCAAATGTAAAAAATATATCGTATTCGTGTTCAATATTCAACACAAAATTGACACAATATTTACATGTGTTTGTCGTGTTTTGTAAAATTAATTTTAAATTAAATAAGCTAATTTTTTTAATTTTTTTTATCCATTTCATGTTTGTCGTGTTGGTTGTTTTTAACGTGTTTTAATTGGATCGTTTTCGTGTTAATAATACAAGACATGACATCATATCATATTCGTGTTATATAAAAACTATTGTGTTAGCTAAAACACGAGACATCTATTCGATTTGACACCCTTAGATGTCACTCAATAATATTTCTTCCTCTAATGTACATGGTTTGACTACTACGAAGGAGGTAAATAATTCAAAGACACATCCACTTATTGATAATTAATGTTCTACGATTTACATCCATGTGGGCCGTACTGTTTTAATAGGTCTACTATTTTTCATAATTATATGTTAAAAGGGTCGTGATTTATTAAGGGGTTGATTAAAAAGATATCCCATATTGCAATATGGACACCCTAATTAATTTTTTAAATATTTTTATTAAATGAAATTGTATTGTTTATAAGCAGTTAATTATTGATTGACTTTTTAAAATGTGGTTAATGAGATATCTAAGAGATGTCTTATTATTAACACATTTAATATTAAAGGCTAATTTGCAATTTTAAAAGTGCATGGAAAGGTGATTGGGATATATTGAAGATGTAAACAAAGCCCACCACTAATAGATGTCACTCAATTATGTTTCCTCATCTAGAGCTAAAAGTGGATATGTCATCAAGAGGTTCACAAAATGAAGCATTAATTATTGACTAGATTGTAGTTAGCTACAAAAGAGGAGGTGAATTACGTTTTATATAGGGCTCCGTATAGGAGTCATCAAGCAATGCATGTATCGAGTTAATTTATTTATCTATAAAATTTATTTCTTTCATAACCAAATCCTTAATTAAGTAATTTGATCGATTTTTTAACATAAATTCGATTGGCAGGTTTTATTAATGCAATTCTTTAATACGAAAGTCCTTAGAAACTTGAAAATATATATATATATATATATATATATATATATATATATATATATATATATATATATATATATATATTTTTTTTATAATGTAAAATAGGTGTATGATCCATGTATTACATGAGTTGATTAAAAAAAAATCTAAATATTTAAGAACTTTAGATTTATAAGAAAATAAAAAAAAATAATGAATTATCAAAATTGATTTTTTTATTTTTTAAATTTAAATAAATAAACAAAATAAACTAATAAGCTTTAATTTGAGAATTTTGAAATAAGAAGGTAAATCCATTATGCGTTCTTGCAGACAGGTGTACGTTTGGCGTGTGTTTCCGTTCTTATGGGTAGTCTTCTATAGGTGCGTTGTCTGCAAGTAGTTGCACTTCCTTCGTGTATCTTCATTCATGGGTGTGTGAGTGGGTTCGGGTATTTCCTTTGGGCGTGAGTATGTTTCTTTCTTTTTTGGTTGTTGTGAGATTCGTTTTCCTCCTAATTTTTTGGAGTGTCGTCTCGAATGGATCGGTCATCAAGGAGCAATATCAAGTCTCTTAGCTATGATTGCATAATGTTGTTGTGCTTAAAGCTGGTTGTGCTTTTCAAAAGCTGAAATTCCGAAACAATCTTGTTCCGTTGATCCTGCCTTTGCTATGGAATTCATGGAATGGATGGGGTCTTTGTCTATTTGTCTTCGGTCGGTTTCTTGCTATGGGTAGCGTGATTGCATATGTGTGGATAGTTGGTTCCTCAAAAGTGTGTAACTCCCACTCTTTCCTGGTTATCTCCAAAAAAAATTTAAAGGGTGAATCTTGATAATTTTGCCCTTGATGTTGGGTTGGAGAATGTTGACATAACCTCTCCGGGTGATAGCTAAACAATAGGTCCTGATTTTGATTTGAGAAACTTCGAAGGTTGGTCACTCTATTCGATGGGTACTGTGGGCGAAAGTTCCTTCAATGATAACATTCTAGTGATAGCAACCTGTCGTTCTATACTTGGTGTTGTTAGCCTTGTAGTTTAGCTTCATTTTGTTTTGTTTTTGTTTTCGATCATTCCTGTTTTGGTTCTGTACTATTCCAGCCACTGTTGGTTTTTGCTTTTTTCAATATATTTTGCTGTTAAAAATAAAATAAAATTGATATTCATTTATTATTACATTTATTGTAATTATTACATTAAAATATTATGTGAAATTTATTAAAATGAAAAAACTCATAAAATGATATGTGGAAAAGAAATTAATTCAAAATAACCATAAAATGATATTTGACAATTTTAATAATAGTGTGATGTGACAATTTTTTTTTTTTTTTTTTTTTTTTTTTTTTTTTTTTTAGAGTAGATGTGTTAGAATTAATAATAATGAATTTAAAATGGGGTTGGTTGATTTTTCCACTGTTAACTTTTGCTTAGTCCACTGAAATTTATACGAATTATAAATTTTGCCCACTGAAATTTATACGAATTAAAGATAATAAATATGTTTCTATACCTGCATACATTACGCTAAAATCTTGTAAATTGCCTTTTGTTTTTTCACAGGTAGCGCCCCTCATTTAAATCATATAGATTAATTTATTTTTTCATCTTTGTCATTATTTACACAAGTATTATTTTATATTTAACCTTTTTTATGAACTAAAAGATCTATTTTTTATTTTAATGCTTAATTTTCTTTTGCTTTTTTGATCATTTTTATACCACCATTTCTACTTTTTAAAAGGTGTTATAAATATATTAATTTGATAAAACTATTACATAGTCAATCAGTCAACCAGTCAACAAAAGATTACAACTTTAAACTAAAATATATAAAATTAAATATATAATATTGTCTAATAAAAATATTCAAATTAATGCATATCAAAATTTCTTTTTCAATAGTTCATTCCACCCACTCTCCAATAATATTTTATTTGTGAACTTATATGTAGTAATTGAAGTTGTGTTAATTTTGCTAAGTGATTGGATGTATCGTAGTTTTATCTAATTAATATATTTAAAAAAAGTAATTTAGAATTTCTTTTTTTACTAAAATGAGAGTCGATCTTTACTTCATAAAAGGAATTAGGTACTAGAAAAATAAATATAAAATGAGTTTGTGATGTAAATAATAACAAAGAAGAAAGAAAAAAAGATTAGTTTACATCATTTTAATGAGAGTAACAAATATAGGAAAAACAAGGTAGTTTACAAGTTTTTTAAATGGTTTATTAAAAATGATAAGTAAGAATCATCCCCTATTAAATTGGCTAATTAAATAAGGTTAAAATTGGAAATATATATATAAATTTAAGTCGATGGATTAATAGTTGCAAGTGGAAGAATCAGCACCTATTTAAAAACAACTAAAGTAGACAAAATCACATGACAAGTATGAAATTGCGGATGAGGTTCCTTCTTGGAAAGTTTTAAAATTTGACGGGTGTCTTTCCTGAAATGTCGATGTTGACCATTCTATTTTTGGTACAACTTGTGTCCTCTTATTAGTTATTACGTCTTACATTCGCCTCACATATTCCATGCGTTTTTAAATACTCTTCATATATGTATTACAAAATCATCTAATATATCTATTGTTAGAATACCGATGACAACAAACTCAATATCTATCAAGATTTATAATTTTATTTTATTAAGACACCTACTATGCTCAATTATAAAGGTAAAGGGTAAAAATCATATAATAATAATAAGATAATCCTTGATTTGTTTAATATAAAGTCATTAATTTTTCATATATATTTAGTCATAATTGTAACTTAACAAAAACAGCGTATTTTATAACTTATATTCCTATATCATGTCAAGTAAAACAGGATCCATTTTTAGTTATTTATGAAAGAAATAATATTGTTTTATATTAGAGTTTACATATTATATGTTTTTTTAACTATTATACAACAAACTTTACAAATCGTTGGCTTTTCATGAAAACGCCAAGAAACTACCGTCTTGAAGAGTTTGATATAAACTTCACATAAATCAAATATGCTATGTGAAAACTGAAAAGCACGTACGTCTTAATATTTTACATTCCAAAAGCAATTTACAAACGCTATGTCCAATTTATTGCTACGTATTTTGAAAGTTTTAAACATCAATAATAAATAATTATAAATTACAATAGCATAGAATAATAATTCTACACAAGAAAATATTGTACTAATGGTTTTACTTTTAACATACGATTAAACTTCTCAACTTTCACGGTAAAACATTTGGTTAATA